ATTCCTGCAGTAAATTCAGGGACACCAGAGCAGCCTCTGGACAAATAGTTACTTTTAATTTTAAAAACCCTCACTCAGTCCTAAAATATCTGAGTATTTTTCATTTTCTTTTTATGCTTGCATGTAGCATTTTGAGGAAAATGTTGTTAAGAATGTTAAAATGCTTATGGTGAATTCACTAACTTGGGGCCTTTGTCTTCAAGGACGGTGCAATTATTGGGGCAACTAAGGAGAATCTGCCAAGACTGAAATAGACAACAAAGCCATAAAACCTGCCTGCTTGTTTTAGTTTTATATCCAGACACTAGTGCTGACTTTTGTTTGAAGTATTGGGCCCTGATGAGAAACTTGGAGAGCAAGCCTAAGCAGGTCTACTCAGTAGTAATTTCTATGTTATTTAATGGACTTAGTCCAGACAAGTGTTCTTAGGATTCAAGCCTAACGGTGCAATCTTGAGGTGGGTTGCACCCTTGACTTAGAAGGGTATAACTCTGTTTAGGATTACACTATTAACCAATGAGTCCTGTAACTAATATCAAATGAATATTTTTTGAAAGAGTGAACAAAACTGTTCCATGTGGGATCTGTCCCAACTGTAGCATCATTTATGGATTGGCTATTTCAGTGTATTTCTCACATTTTATAAAATACTGATTTAATTTAGTAGCAGAATTTATAATTTTGCTTCACTAGTATTCTGTGTACCATAACGTTAGATGTAGGAATGATTACCATCTTGGTCTCTCTTCGTAATCTAATGCAAGATTTGTGTGCCTTTGTGCTATGACATACCTTGTTAAAATGTTGTGAACTCTGAAGAATTTTAAAGCACTTCTAAGCTGTTATCCCTGGGTGGTCCACATAACAGTTTTCAGAAATCTGTTTCATGTTTGTTACGGTCTAAAAGACCCCAGCCATTCTCCAGAGGAGACAATAGTGACCATAAGATGAAATAGATATTTCTTATAATATGCTGGCCTAGATGCAGTAACAGTTTTCATTGGCCTGTGAACTTTCTGATAATATTTATGAGTAAAAAAATAATAAGCATTTATTTTTCATATTCCTTCTGAATTTCTGTTATTTTTTTTCAGATATACAGGACAATAATTTAAGTGTTATTTTATTTATATGTCTATATCCAACAAAATACAAAAAAATAGTCATTTTATAATTAAAGAGGTTGTGTAAATAATATATTGAGTAGTTACGTATGTAGTGTGATTTTATGCATGCTTTCTCAGAACTCCTCAGCTGAGTTGTACATTCTTTAATAATTGTATTTAGGGTTGAAGTCCTAGTTCCAAAAGATTTTCATAGCTGCAGATTCTAATCTGTAGTGTTAGTTTTAATTTATTTTCCTATTAGCAGTTTTTCTTATACTAAACCTCAAAAGAGATGCAAATCATATTGTTTAAAGGTTATGAACATCTCTTAAACCACTACCCAGTTCTAAAGCAATCAGTAATAAGTAAGATGCCTCCAACAGAATCATTGACAATTATTACAGTAATTTCCCCATATACTAAGGACTGATATTTCCTCTTTCTCCTGTACTAATAAAGACAAAAGGATGCCCAGGTCAGCATAGTGGTTAGAGGCTGGATATTGGACAGATCTGTCTGCATGTCTCTGCTCAGCCCTCAAAGGACATTGGATCACCCTGGACCCATCTCATAGGAATGAGGAAAAACAGGGCTTTTTTGTAGAAAAAGCCCAGCAGGAACTCATTAGCATAATAAGCTACACCCAAAAGCAGAAACTACTTAGTCTATTAGGTCACACCCCTGACAGCACAGGTCATTAGCATATTAGGCCGCACCCCCATGTTACCAGAAGTGTGATCATTCAGCAACACCCACCATTTGCTTCTTATTCTGTTTACCTTGTTTGTTGTCAAAACCCAGGGCTTTTTTTATAGCAGGAACTCCTTTGCATGTTAGGCCACACACCCCTAATGTAGCCAATCCTAATGAGTTTCTGCTTTTGGGTGTGGTCTGTTATGCTAATGAGGTTCCTGCTGGCCGTGGCCAACTCAGGAGCCAGCCGGAACTCCGTTCCTGTGCGTTCCTGCCCAAAAATAGCCCTGAGGAAAAAGAAACACTCTGTATGTTTGCCATGCTCAGCATATGAATACTGGCATATAATCAGGATAAATGAATGAATCTTTCTCAGGTGCTACACAGAAATTGTGACTAAAGCATGTTTACCTAGTTCATGTCTTCCTTCATCACTTAAATATGTAGTTCATTGCTGTGTCATGTGCTGCATTCAGCTAATCTGTAGTTCATGTGAAAACATTGATGCTTGTATCAAAGCTGTTCTTTGATCGCTCCAGTAACCTGGGAAATATGCAGTGGATGGGGCTTACCTTAGCCAACAGTTTCCTTTCCAGGTTCTTTAGTAACTCAACTCTATATACAGCGTAAAAGGGTGTTTTAAAGCATGAAACTAAACAAGCTAGGCAAGTTGAAGTTATGGATGCAATAAACATCACCAGAATGATTCATTTTGGTTTTAGTCATATCTCTAGTTCCATCACTTGTTGTCCTTTAGTTCCTCTTTGCATTTTATCATCCTCAAATCCTAAAACAAGCAACTGTGTCAGTTGGCTGCTATCTGCTGTAAAGATGTATGTCAGTAGTCTATCCCTTTAAAAAATTATGTTGTTGTTCAGTCGCACAGTCGAGTCCGACTCTTCGCGACCCCATGAACCAGATCACGCCAGGCCTTCCTGTCTTCCGCCATCCTCTAAAGTTTGCTCAATTTCATGTCCGTTGCATCTATGACACTGTCTAACCATCTCATCCTTTGCTGTCCCCGTCTTCTTTGACCTTCAGTCTTTCCCAGCATCAGGGTCTTCTCCAGTGAGTGCTCCCTTCTCATTTGATGGCAAAAGTATTTGAGCTTCAGTTTCATTATCTGACCTTCCAGGGAACAGTCAGGGTTGATTTCTTTTAGGATTGACTGATTTGATCTTCTTGCAGTCCAAGGGACTCTCAAGAGTCTTCTCCAGCACCATAGTTCAAACGAATCTATTCTTCGGCGCCCAGCCTTCCTTATAGTCCAACTCTTGCAGCCATACATGACTACTGGGAATACCATTGCTTTGACCATGCAGACGTTTGTTGGCAGGGTGATGTCTCTACGTTTTATCATGCTGTTTAGGTTCGCCATCGCTTTCCTCCCAAGGAGCAGGCGTCTTTTAATTTCATGGCTGCTGTCACAGTCTGCGGTGATCTGGGATCCCAGGAACGTGAAGTCTGTCACTACTTCCACGACTTCCCCTTCTATTTGCCAAGGAGTGATGGGGCCGGATGCCATGATCTTAGTTTTTTTGATGTTGAGCTTCAAGCCCTTTAAAATACCTCTTCCTATATACCTAGCAGCACTTTGTTCTTCTAAAATATTTCAGGCTTGTATGTTTTTAAATATGCAGAAGGCCAGTAGATGTGTTCAGTACTCCAAGTGCCAAATGTCCTGAGATGATTGGGGAAAAGGCAGCATATGAATATTTTAAATAAATGCCTTCAACTTCGAATGGCATTTCTGTATCAAGAAGAAGAAGAAGAAGAGATTGGATTTATACCCCGCCCTTCACTTGGAATCATTATCAATACCAAATGTAATGTTTGCAGTGATGGATCATGGAGCAGTTCATTGGTCAATTGGTGGACACTACTGATTGCTGTACCCGATCATCTATTCTGCAGCCATATGCTTGTACATTGCAAAGGTAGAGGTCCCTGTGATTCCATCAACACCTGTTGACACCCTACAGAAACAGACCCCCCCATTCAACAATGTTGAACTGTAGGAACCCTTCAGTGAATTGCCATTTCAGCTGCTGCTGCTGAGCTTTGGGAATTGTTGCATCCATAGGCATTTATAATACGAATTAGAAGCCAAAGGCTTCAGTTTTATACATGACATTTAAAAATTATGGACTATCTCAAGACTGCTATGTGTGTCAGACTTTCTGTTTCTACTACTTCTGAAAAAGCAATTGCACACCAACAACTTAGAATTTATTAATGTTTCACAAGTGCTTAGAAGTTATTCTGTATCACTCAAATCATAGACAGGTTCGTGAAGGGGGAAAGGTTATTTTTTGTAAAAGAGACACAAGGTTGTAATACCCTTGTATTCTGATCCATATCCTTAGGGGCTTATCTTGTTGTCTTTTCTGTACCTCATGAACTAGGCTACTATATCCCATAATGCTGATAAATGACCAAGAGAGATTATGACAATTTTTAAATTACTCAGTGCATCTTTATCCTCATGGCAATTACAGCTTTTTGATTTCCCTTTGCCATACCCCATCCTCCACACAATTTCATTCTTAAGTGTCCATATGTTCAAATTTGGTTTTGGGTGTAACAGGAGGTTGCTGCCCTTTTGAAAGTATAGCTTTTGTAGATAAAGGCATTAAAACAGAGAGCCCATCTGTCCATTGTGGGCAGCCAGGGTTAAGAGAGAGCACTGCAGTGTCCAGACACATTTAAGCTATGGCCTTTCTATTCGAATGTCATGTAATAATGCTCTTAGTGTTGGGGCAGCAGCAACTTCTTCATGTAAGAGAAAATTGCTGCCCAAGGCTGTATTTAAGAAACTGCTAAAGTACTATAATTGCATGTGACACTATTAGAGAAGTGCATATGCTCCAGAGAGACTTGAGTGAAAACTTCACTTATGCTTCTATAACAAGAAAATGTAATAACAGTATATATGTGTGTGTTTGTGTGTGTGTCTGTATGTTGAAAAGCACATTCAGATTTGAGGTTTTTTAATAGTCTATTTACATGATCAGAAGAATTGCTCCATGCAGCTATTCCTTTGGACTGTGCCTCTTAGGACAATTGGTGGTCAATCACATGCCTGAATTTTGTGTGTGCTCAGTTAACCTAGCAAGTTAGCCAGCTTGTTTTCTGAGTCTACATGAAGCTCTTCATATATAAAATAATTATGGCATGAATCCTTTCCTTGTAGTCAGAACTGCAAGAAATGCATCATGTGACTATGGGTATCTCAAAGAAAACTGAATAGTGGCTCTCAGTATCTTTGATGGGAACAGTTCTAGCATCAGTGGGAAATAATCGAGTGAGCAGAAGGCACTTCGACTCATGAAACGTGGGCCTCTGCTCTCTGTTGTTTTCCCTACCAGCTGTAGCCTTCTGTGCTATGTCCCACAGCATTAGGGATTTTATGGGTAGCAAGAGGTTGCAGCCAGAAGGAAGATATGGAAAAGCTCTATTGCATTTAAAAGTCCACTTCTGGTTTTCTTGATCTCTTCTTCCAAAGTGTATCTTCTCAGTCATACAATCTGTTGATGACAACGAAAGCATGACTAATTTTTGCATTAACAGAGAAAATATTTATAAATATATCTAGTCAATTACTGTAGATGTTCTTATTACATGCAGTGTTTCGGTTATTCATGCAGGTTTTGTGTTATTTATTTCAGGGAGCAGTTTCACAACATCATCTGGAATATATGCTGGAAATAATTCACTCACAAATTCTAGTGGATTTAATAGTTCACAGCAGGTAAATATATTAAAAAGTACCAAATAACAGTTACTTCCCCCCCCCGAAGCAAAATAAAAGACGTTTTCTTAAAAAGCAGATGACAAATGTACCCTCATCCTGCATAAAATGTTGAGAAGTACTTTAATACTGCAATATTACACATATCTAAGACCACTGACTTCAGTTGGTTCAGAAGAATGTACCTGTTAGGAAGCCACTGTAAAGTTTAGGTTTTTTGCCCTCCCCCCACTGTCCTGTATTTTTAAAACAAACAACATCGAACCGTACAGTGAATTTACAGTTTTAGTCCCAATTTTACAACAATTTAGATACAATTTTACAACAATTTAGAATTCTGAATCGCAAGGGTAAATATGGTCTTCCAAAATTCGGACAAAATGCTCATGATTTCTATTGAGCAAAATCCAAAAGGGCAAAGAAATTGAGGTATTTGTTCATATTTAGATCCTATGACATGCACTGAAATGTAGCAGCATATTAATAGGAAAATCTAATAGAGCTTTTTTCCCCACTCTGTTAGGAATATCCATCTTACCCCAGCTTTGGCCAGGGTCAATATGCACAGTATTATAACAGTTCTCCGTATCCTTCACATTATATGGCAAGCAGCAACACCAGTCCAACAACCCCTTCCTCCAATGCAACATACCAGCTACAAGAACCACCATCTGGCATTGCAAATCAAGCAGTTACAGATCCTACAGCAGGTAATTGCACAGATTTTATTACCCCTGAGGGCCACATTTTTGGTACTTGAAAGGTATTTTCAAAAGAATCCTGAATTTATGGTGCCACTAGCACAGTATTGACAAAGGGTGCGCTTAGGCTAAAAAATGAAGATCAGTGAGTTTTTAAACAGAGAATATTTTAGTGGGAGCACTAAGAATTAAGAACACAAATGACCTGCGTGGAGGTCTTTACAGATTATTACTGAAATATATTCTAGATACTTGTTTGCAGCATTGAAACATGATTGAAAGCTGAAGCCTGCTAAAATGTCATTTTATTTCTATATATAAAGAGAAATGTAGATTAGTAGTACTAATATTAAGCATTTGCAA